TAGATGAATTGGATGAAGGTTGATGTCGTCTTTGGCCTCATGTCTCAGTGTTGTTGTTGGCCCTGTTCTTCACAAAAAAAGAACTACGTTTCCTATAATGCCAAAGCTCCTGTGTGTATTTCACTGCACACTGTAGTGTGTAAAATTGTGTATCTTACAAATGAATCTTTGAATCTAAATAAGGATGTAACTTGCCTCCATGGCGGTGTTTTTTCTTTCACTTTCCTAAATGAATGTTGCAAGTATTTTACTTCTACTATCAAAGCTGAAAACTTGAGCTCCACTTTCAATGAAAACATTTTTTACCCAATTTATGCTACAATGCAAACTGCCATTGTGCTTTATATACAATCTAGCAGATTTCACACAAGAACTAACCTGGTGATGAACCCGTAAAAGCTGCAAATCTTTGTACAATTGTATCAAAACTGACCTGGCAATGTTTTATCAGTGTCCCAGTGCACCACACAGCAACCTTTAACTGACATGAAAAACTGAGAGAAAATACAGTAAACCAACAGATAAATGCACGTAAAACCAATAATCTCTCTGAAATTAAGTGTTCATAAGAAAAGATTCAACAAAATAAGTCAAATAAAACAGCTCATATGATCTGCCACCTGGCATGTATGCCAAACACACACTCACACACACACACAAAGGGCTCCCTATTTCTAGCTTCCTCAAAGAAATATCTTTATAAAGCTCAGGAATGTGAGGAATCTCTCAGGGAGTGTTTTGAGCGAGCAGGTGACCTTTCGAGCATACCTTTGTAGGACTGTATGACCTAATCAGTCTTCCCTTCACCTTATTTCCATTTAACCAAACCAGGGGAATGGCTCTAAAACCTCATTAAGAAGCTAAGACAGGATCTGAGCTGAGTTGCATAAGAGAGGCCTGTCATCTAGTTTTACACAGGATCGTGTACACTGACAGCACGGCGGGGACATAAAACACTGTCAGAAAGGTACGCAGGTAAAACGGAATTAGACAAATGGAAGTGAAGTAACATGTAACAACACATAATCTCTGCCTTTTGGCTCAGGATGAAACATTGTCCAGGTAATCAGAGAAGACAATGCAGAGTTAATGGATTAACCACACTGAAGGGTCCAGGAAGCCAGAGTTTATCTCTACAAAACCTGCTACTGTGCAGTTCCCTCTCTGGTCAAACTCCACCAGCCTTGTTTACAAAAATACATTCCTGCAAGTGCAAAGGTTAAAGTAACCCAAGGGTTACAGGGTTCGGGCGGTCACCCTAACCTGGAATCTAGGTCAACCTATTGTCATCCTTTAATGAAACTGACTGAAAAGCAAACACATCGGGAGATTAAACTGTCTGATGTGTTAATAGCAGGTTACTTTGTTAGGGACACATGAATAAAAGGACTTACTTGGTAGGGCTGCGTGTTCATTGAAGCATTTTAGTATGAGTGACAATATGATACCTGACTATTGGTAACGATACTGAAACTATAACTTTCTGTGCTTTAGTTTGAGAAACATAAACATGGTTTTCTATGAAAAAAACTTCACAAAATGTTCTCTACCTGACTGCCTAAATAAAATACTCTATAATTCAGTCTAAAATCAGGCCATATCTGTTTAAAGAACACATCTGATCGGACATTCAATGCCAGCTTTCATTATGTCCATAGACTTTATAATGATGTGCTAATAATATGCGGTATGTCATTCTCAGTGAGTCCATCCCACAGTACGTCACCTCTTCTGGCTGGAAAAAACAGTAGGTACATACTACGGTACGTCAAAAATGTATTCTAAAACAATATCCAATTTTCAGAGTGAAACCCAGTGCATTTGTTTTTCGAGAAAAACAGAAATTTATTTCTATTATAGAATAATCTGCTCATATTTTCTCAATTAACTAATTAACTATTAAAAGCAATCATTTGGTATATAAAATGTCAGAAATGCCCATAAAAAAATTGACTAATGATAGTTAATGGACTAATCGTTTCAGCTCTAATCTATATTGAGCTCTAGTCTATTTAGTTTTTATTGTGATTTACTTCTCTCGTTAATTTCAGTATCCACTTTGAGTAAAAATAGTATTTTGTAAAAACTATTTTGAAAAGATGATGTTAATGTTTTTTTTTATACTTTGTATCTATTTTGATCTATAAGTCACATGAATTATCGTCAGACTGTATATGTTAGAGAGGAGTTGTGCAAAACAAGTATTGGGGTTTGATACACAGGCGTTCATATTAGTACACATACTCCATGTGATCCTTTATGGGTGCCAGTGTCTCAGAGCGAGGAGAAACAGTGTGAGTGGAGAGGTCAGGAAAAACAAAACCCCTTGTTCCTCCCTCACTGTAACGGTCCCGCCATGGCTTTTAATTAACTGGCACTGTGCCCGCCATACCAGGCATTTAGTGGGCAGGAGGCCCCTCTGGCATCAATACAGATTATCATCAGGGGCTCAGCTGGAGGTATTCAATTTTCTGGGCAAGTCTGTTACACTGCACCATGTCCTGCTCCTGCAATAAACCTCCTCTGGATGCATTTTGGGAATTGCTGAGCTCCTTCACTAATCAGAGGAAGCGTCTGGCGGAGGAGTTTGCTGTGGTTGTTGCCAGCACCAACAATCTGCACGCCATACACAGCACGTTGATTACTGAGGGCTCAATAGCAGCGTATGTTACTACCTGGCACATAAATCACACTTAATAGTCAACACTTTACCGGCTTCATAGTGATATATCTCTCTAATCTTAAGGCCTATTACCTTAACGTAGTGGATACACCATTTAAAAGAATATTAACTGTGGCTGCCATCACAACAATCATTAAAAGTTGGTTCCATCTTAAAAAGAAATGCGCTCTCCAGTAATTTGTCTTGAGTGCATGTGTGGAAAAGTAAAGGAGAAGTTTTCAGGGCCTCTGCCCGATGTGGGAGGCAGCCTCTAAGCCGACCTTGGCAGAGGAGAAATACCTTATCTGTCCTCACAGTTTACTTTCCCTTACAAAACTCTTCACACTGTTGTTGTAAGTAGTGGCACAATATAATGTAAAGATTGCATAATGCAGTCTACATACTCATGATGTGACAGTCAACAGTGATGTGCTTGTCTATGCATTCATCATCTACCAAAGCCATAGATGTGACTGAAAACGTGTTTACACATATTCATCTTCTGTTGTGGGTACAGTTTGACTGTGTGAGACTCAATGAGTTTGAATCCCGTGGAAATCCCCTCATGCCCTTCCAGCTGAACTACGAGCTCTGGGCTTCCACTTGGAGACGCAGCAAGAAAAACAGGCAGGGCCTCCTCTGTCTGTCTGTCTGTAAAGCAATTAGCCAAGACTACACAAGCAATGCCAGACACTGTTTGTACTGTTTTTGCATAAGCCAGCTCAGTAGAACAAGGTTTAGCTTGTTTGTCTCATGTTTTTGTGTTTAGGTCTGGCTGCATAAAGGTGTGATTAATGACGATGTAAAACTTAAGTTAGTGCTGACAGTTCACATACTGAAAAAAAAGTGCGTTCACAAGGAGAAAACAGGACTGTGAGAGTTCAGCATGCTGACATACGAGTGCACATGTGCAAGCTCCAACAAGATCGAGATACAGTTCTGGGAAAAGTCAGAGTGTTGCTGCAATGTTATGTGAGTGTGTGAATGAATTGTTTTTATGTGTTCACTACATGCATTAATTGGGTTTTACTTAAACTGTTGATTGTGTGGGTATGTGTGTGTGTGTGTGTGTGTGTGTATCTCTGTACGAAGGCTAAAATAACACACCCATAACACCTTCCATTTAATGCATGTCCCACTGTTCACTTCACCCTCCATGTAACCTGAAGACCAGGTAAGTTAAGTGATGGTATCACAGAACAGGACAGACAGAGATTTTTTTTCACAGCAAACAAAGCAAATGGGAGGTCAGAAGGCGAGTAGGAAGTCAGTCTGTTCAAACATCCCTCTAGTGAACAAACATACATGCCTGGGAGCCAAGGAGCAGCATATTCAACTGGTTCCCAAGAACTTATCCCGACTCATCTTAGATGTCATGTTACTAAACTAAGCTGCGCTCTGTAGAAATGTCTTTAAATATCTTGTGCAAGCATTACAGGAAAACACTGGTGGGTTTTAGCCCATTAGCAACACATTACTTCACTTACTGACTAATATCTTTTAGATTTACATGTTTTCAGAGTCATTTTGTTCCTTGTAGCCACCCATTGGTTCATGGTTTATGTCTGTACAAAAGCCGGGGCCTTGACTGAGATAGGGAATTCAACACAGTTTAATAATCTGTTGTTTTTATTCTTTTAGTTTTTGTGTGTGTGTGTCAATGGTATCTTATCTTGTATGGCACTACAATTGCAAGCAGAGACTCTGTTTTCATGTATTCAAGGATGCTCGGTCATTCACATTGCCAGGTGCTGAAATTACATTTCTGTGGGGCCTTTTTTGATTAACCTGTAGATTATTCTATTGATTCATTGATTCATTATTAAGAATATAAGAATGTTTAGTGAAAAAATTGCCAATTGTAAGTTCCTACAGCTTTCAACAATCTGCTTATAACTGCTTTGCCACAGAAGGGTGAATGTCAAGTAATGGCCTTCTGTAGAGCAGGAAATTTATCTCAGGGTTTCCCCCAGAAGATTAGCCATGGTGGTAAACCAACAAGGTTAATATTTTATCTCTTTTATTTTAAGTGTATTAGCTTTTATAATGTTAGTGGGAATGGTCTGTTTCACCTAAATTCTCCATGGTGCTCTAAAGGAAATGTTTTGGTTGAATTCTAAAATATTGGCAAATTGTAGTTGAGCTAAAACACGCAAAACTGGCTGATGCTCCTCTGATCTGTGGTGGCAATTCATATACAGAAACATTCTTTTACAATGGATATTATGTAAGATGTAGCGTACTATCAACTACACCACAGAACAACTGCTAACATACTAACACCTGATAAAATACTAGAGGAGTTAAAATGGCTGTTGAGCATCCTGCAGGCTCTTACCATGACTGTTACCTTGTGACTTCTGTCCTCCTTTGTGTCCACCCTGATGTCCAGCAGCAGGGTGCCTATCCAAGGCCAAGTCAAGTGCAGGACCTAGACCAGGGCTCTGCCCCTTGGCACCGAGCTCCTTCCTCTTCTTGCCCTTCAGCCAGCCCAAAGCCCGGCCCAGGGAGTGACTGCGCTTCTTCCGGCCCCTTTTGCCGTGCTTCTCGTGGGCAAAAATGTCAACCACATCCTGGGGAATCAGGTCCCCAAATCCCAGTGAGTCACGGTTTGACATACCACCTCACACTGGAGAGACACCCTGAAAACAGAAAAAGAAGAGACGGGCAATAACATTTTAGTCATCATCATCCAAGCTCTACATGTGATGGCACATAAGGAGAGGTAATAATCGAAGGACCATATTGTTGAACTGCTTTTCTAACATTCCTGGCTCACCACTGGTTTCAGTTAATTCCAGTACAATATTACAATTGTTAATATTAAATCAAGTTATGTATACTTAAAACGTGCTTTAGGTGATCCAGGATTTTGAGAAAAAAAAGAAACAAAATGTTGACTTTATTTTCATTACTTGTCAACATTAATGTCATTGGATGCAGTGGCAAGTAGGAGCTGAAAACCAATCTTGCTGTTCTGCTCAAGAAAATCACAACATCCGATATTTGAGAGGTGGCTGCTGCAAAGAAACCTTTTTTATTAAAAAAGCTGCTAAATTCAGTGTCCTTACAACAGTTACTATATCCGATTACTGTCTGCCTTCCAGGTTTGATTTCCCATCAATATAGATCATCATTCTCACACTTTTCCACAGTTGATGTAGTGCACCAAAATAAGCACCAAGGTTAACGATGATGGATTGATTACCTATGGCAAACAGGTTTCAAGTCTTGGCAAGGTGATTGTGTTATCTTGAAAAAAACGGGTTCTAAAGTTTTTTAATCCAGTTAAAACTTAGCTTTGGAAAATGTTTGTCAGTAATGTAAAGTGTACAAAACCATGAATCCAGTTGTACTGCAAATAAATACAGCTAAGTCTTTAGACCACCCGAATTGGTATGTGTGTGTATATATCTGTTTGTGTTTGTGCGTCTCTGTGGGCACTGCTCATTCAACCCACACACTCAGCCTACAAAGACCCCCCTCCTGCCTCTAAACAAAACTTCACAGTTCTGCAAAGAAAGAACTGGCACCGCTCCCTTCATTCCATAACATGGAGTCATAATTCACAAAGCCGCACCCGTAGGCTCATGCACTTTTACACACAGGCACAACAGCACACTGGAACAGAAAAATAAACAGTCAGTAATGGGCATTGAGGCATTTTTGACGAACAGTGTTCATATATCAATGTAGTTTCTGTTTCATGTTCCTTGTTATGTTTCTTTGTCTTCCTTCATCTTGTTTTTTTTTTTTCTTTCTCAGTAGAATGAGCTCATCGCCTCTCTGTCAGCCTCCTTCCTCCACCCCTCCACCTTGCTAAACTCCTCTACTTTAAGGCAGGTTTCCCAGCCTTGCTCCTGGGGATCTATAGCTCACACTGGGCTTCTTCCAGCTGCGTACTTTATTAGATACTTATCTCCAGATCACAGGCTAAGAGTAGGATCAGGCTCTTAAGATGACAAGAGTCAGAGCATGTAAATAAGCAAACTGAGACTGAGGGAAGGTGGGAGTGGAATCAGATGAAAGAATTATGAATCCCAGGGTGATTTGCCATCGAGAAAGTTCATGAAAAGTTTTTGGCTGCCATGTTGCTTCACGGTCATGCATGGAAAACACTGCAGACGGATTTTAGCACAGACAGTGTGTGAGCAATATATCCAAAAATCTTTCAGCGACACAGTTTCTAGGAAGACTTCCCTGCCCCAGACGAGCCACAAAACTAAAACCACAGAAACCTATGTCATGTTCTCTAAGGATTACAAATGCTCCTCGTCATTAAAGCTCTGTGTAATGGAGAGGGAGAGCTGTGATAAGAAGTTAGCGGACTCTGGTTTGGATGTATTGCATAGAACATTGTGGGGCAAATGTGCACATTTAAAGCCACATGCTGTTCATACTGTCATAAACTAACCTTTTATGAGTTGAGTCTTGACGATGTCAGAATGGGGAAGACATGGGGAATATTCACTCAGTTGTCAATTTATTAGTTCTGTGTATAGTTAAACTAATGCAGCCCAATACAGTCCTGAAATAAATCCTCCCTTCATTAAAGTTATAATGTGTTTCTATTATTTTCTAATAACTCCTCTATGGAGATGGTAAATGCTCATGCCAGCATGCTAACATGCTCACAATAACAATGCTGACAAGCTGATGTTTAGTTCATTTAGCATGCTAACACTGGGTAATTAGTACCCAGTGTACTAAGTAGAATCGGGAATCAGTTTTGGAGATATTCCATCATGAAACCAAATTATTGGACTAACGTTTTGACGTAATGTTGCTGCTAGAGGTAAAGTCAGACGGGTCATTTATGGACCAATGTGGACGATTTATTGCAGATTGCAACTCCTTTACTTCACCCTCCCCTTCCAATCGTTCAAGTAGGAGAAACTGCGGTGGCCGCAAAATCTGCAAAAAACGTGAACGGCCCAATCTGGAGTCAGTGTTTTGTTTGTCTATTCTGGGCTACCGTAGCAACATGGCAGTTCCTCCACGGCAGGTAACCTGCAGTGTCTATAGATATAAAAAGCTAATTCTTGAGTAAAACATAACGATTATTATTTTCAGGTGACTATACAGTAATTAAAACATACCTATGTATTCCATTTCTGCCAATAGAGCCTCTTAAATGTTACACACTGGACCGAATCATCTTCCAGTCACCATGAATGCCCGTATAAAATGTCATTGTAATCCATCCAATAGTCTCAACAATGCTGCTAGTATGGTTAACGAGTAGAATAGAGTAGTAAATCTGATTCTACCCTCTCCAGAAAGAGAGGTTTACATCCACACTCATGACAGAAGTATGCGGCCCCATATGAGAGGATTATATTACCATCAGTACTTGAAGAACCTGAATGCTTTTCTAAACATTATACATACAAAGGCGTTTTTGAAGTAATTTGTTATCTTAATGTAGCCAAGCTGAACATGTTACTCACTAGAGCACAACTCAAGTGGCACAATGTGTATGGAGTAGACGCAAGTGAGTGAGTTGTAGTGAAACACCAATAACAAGAAAGAGCATCCATCTTCTTCAGGAGAAAAGTAACAGGCCTCTCCCTGCCCTAAGCCCTGTGTTTCTCCTGCTCCAAATTACAGTCATTTGAGCATGACTAAGATCCCTGCATGTATTGGCCACAGTCGCCAATAATCAGACGTGTCTCTCGGGAGAAGAGGGGGCTGGTTCATTCATTTATAGCCCTATAGCTGGGAGTGCATCAACTCATTGTACTATTTCCACCACAGAGGAACCGGAGTAATACTAAGCACTCGGGGACGCAGCGGAGGACCACCCAGCAGACCACTGTCTGTGCAGTCCTGTTTTAAGGAGTTGACTCATGCCACCGTTGCTGCGGTTACACATAACAACCTGCAATTTTCCGTTTTGCAAACAAATTTAATGAGGTGACGCACACAGTGGAGTGTCCACTCTAAAAATATCTGTTTGTTTGATGACGTCTATATTTGTATCATTTATCTTAAGATTTACAAAAGAAATGTCACATCTCTCTGGTTTATTTAGAGAAAAGTTACTGTCACAATCCTCTTTCTAGAAAATAAGCTTTAGACTCACAATCTCTCTTCATAAGTTAAAGCACCATCACCGACATTTTAATTACAGGGTTGCTTCATTCGTCCCAGCAATCACCTAACCCCTAACCACGACTCTCAATTCATAAAAGTTGATACACAAACCATAGACACGAAAGAAGAATTTGAAGCACAAACCGAGATAGCACTGTCTACACTTCACCACATCAAGGTGCATTAGATTATGATCGAATAAAATACCCTAAGCTGATTTACACACAAAAATGTAGGTTCTCTCTCCGACACTAAACCCGCTGTGGTTTTCCAGCCCAGCCCCAGTCCTGCCGGAGCAGGCATGTGTTCCAACATGCTGTTTACTTACCCTTTACAAAAGACGCCAGGCTTTCACATTGGACAGGAGGTACTGCTCAAACACAGCAAACCTCAACACAGTGTGTCAATACCTGCAGCACTGACTGATTATCTGACACTGACAGTAGCGTGTACATATCTGCATGAAGTCAACTGGGGCTGATAATAGTTTACACACTGTCATGAAATAGACTTTGAGACTCAGCATATCTAGAATTTACATTTATTGTTTACTTTTGACAGATATACTGTATGTCCTGGGGCTTCAGTACATAAATTCCACAGCAAATGTGGATTTTCCCTCCACTTTTACGCAGGCAGGTCAACAGAATTGAAGCAAAGCACTGACACCTGCCTTGCCTGAAGCAAAGCACAGTAGCATGGCTTACTGTGCAAATCAAACCCCAAATCCATGAATTTACCAAGAATCTCCATCTTAAACTGGGCTCTACTGTACCTTTCTTTGACAAACTGGTGTGTAAAACAAAGGGGGAAAGCCGGTTTTTGTTACATATGAACATTTCTTTAAATCCAAGCGACTTAAGCTGAACACACCCTCAACAGATCCAGTATGTCAAAGGAAGTGCAAATAATTGTCAGTGTTTGTTTTTACACTGAATGCCTTGAAGGTGGGATTTATTACGATTTTTTGGCACCCACTGTGTTGGTTTTTTATGACAAACCGCACCCATGTGGTAAAGAATTAGGTTCAGAGTTGAACTACCTACACAAACTCAAACTGGAGGGTACAGGAGCCTTCCATCTGGTAAACTCACAATACTGATTTTATGCTCAAGTGTAATCACACCCTTATCAACTCTGGCAAATATGAACAATGTGAATTTTGCAGGCGATGACGGGGGGACGAGGAAAGGGGAGGGGTCTCCAGGAACTGTAACTTTGACTTTGGTGAGTCACACAGGGAAGCTGACGGAGCAGACTGCAGTAGCTCATGGGGATAAGGCAAAGCCAAGAGGGAGTGGCGGTGATACAGGCAGCCACTTTTGTTTGAATTAGGACTGGCTCAGTTCAACCAGGAGGCCATTCACATCTACGCCTGAGCTGCTGAGTTTCACATGGCATGACTTAGCTGTCAGTGAGCGAGGTTAAGGTCAGGGTGAATGTGGTTAGTCTCCACAAGACAGAAATAATACTTTAATAAGGTTAATAATTTCCTTTTTTGGGGGAAAAAAAGGATGTTTTGGATCTGTTCCAGTCTTCCTGCTGAGATCACCGGAATAGAATTTACAGTAACAGCAAGTTTTGTCAATAACAGTCCTTAAACCACACTTAAAGTGGCTCTGTAACTAAATTGCAAGTGTTGGGACAGTGTGAAAACTGGTGTTGCTGTGCGGCACCTGAAGGCATCAATCAGGGCGTTGGCTGTCTTCTCTGAGCATTATCAAACAAAGGAGAGCACTGCTACTCAAGAGCAGACTTAAAGCAACCTTGTCTAAGCTGCAGCTCAAGTGCAAACACTCCATGTTCAAGAAATGTACTGTGATGGATGACGATCAAGACTCAAACTGGAAATACTCAATTACACAACTTTAGGAGGTTTGAAACCAGTCTGTGAAATGACAGAGGAGAACTTCTTACGAGAGGTTTGTGGGAGTCATCAGGCATCAATGGAAAGATTTCCCATCTTAAGGGAAGTAGGGTCCTGTTTCACAGCAGATGCATGTTTGCACTGACAAAGAGGACTGCAAGAACGTTTCCTAAAAATCTGGTTCCATACCAACATATCAGCATAAATACACAGTGGCTAAGGACTTGGACTGAAAGACAATCCCTTGCTGACATTATGTGGTCCCTGTGTTTGCTGCAGAAAGGATACAGTTTCAGAAAAAGACCATGTAGGTAATGACAGTGATAAAAATAAACAACAATAACAGTGTAAGACAATAATGACACAAATAAACCCAAAATTGTATGTAACTTAACTCACTGAGGTTATAGACACTGTGTGTGTGTGTGTG